TGCACAATCCCTGCCAAAAATCATAGAAAGTCATGAGATATTAAATGTTTTCCAGCCTGTACAGGTTATTACCAATATATACAGAATTTAATATACCAGACTAAACTGGCTTGCTAAGTACATACCAATCATGAGGCAGTGTGTTTGTTTTGCAAGCATTCCTTAATACAAGTAGTCTTTGCCGAGCAGCTATTCCAAGTTATGACTGGCCCTTGAAGCTGTGGTGGTGACAGCACGCTCAGAGTCATGTAATTGGGATCTAGGCACTTGGCAATCAACTTGCATTTATGATTACAGTGTCCTGCGACCACATAGTCACCACGGTGGCTCAGTGGTTAGAATGCAGTACTGCAGGCTACTTCTGCTGCCTGCAATTTGGCAGTTCAAATCTTACCAGGCTCAAGGTTGACTCAGCCTTCCATCCTTCCATGAGGACCCACATTGTTGGGGGCAATATGCTGACTCTGTAAAATCACTTAGAGAGGGCTGTAAAGCGGTATATAAGTCTAAATGCTATTGCTATTTGTGATGTTCCCTGCTGGCTTTCCGCAAGCAAAGCCAATGGGGAAATCAGCAGGAAAAGTTGAAAGTTACTTCAGTAAGGCACTTGCATCCTCCCCCACGTTGCACTAGGCACCCGTCTATAATCTTGCTAAGCCTCTCAGGCCACTTGCACACCTACCCCTACCCAACAGCAGCCTCTCCAGGCACCACTATGCCTTACCTGCCTGCAGGCCTGCTTGCAACTACCTGGGAGTTGCTTAACAACCCAGGATCCTCGCTTAACAATAGCAATGAGGTGTGCAGGATTGCATTCCAGCAACGTTGTGCTTTATAACTACACCACTTACCAATGGAAATTCTGGCCCCAGTTACCTTGTTGTTAACTGAGGAATAACTGTAACTCCTTTAAATGAACATCTAATATGTCTAAAGTATGATTTGCAATGGTAAATCAGTTCATTGAGTATAGGGAAGTTTGTGAAGAAAAGAGCCATTTAGAACTGACATAGTTCATCGAAACGTAGCTTCTAGGCTATTGTTCTCTTTAAATTGAAACATTCTTTACATAACTCCTGAGAATAAATTAGTAAGCATTTTTAATCCTATTTTCCACACTTGCAGTCTTGGCATACTGAATTGCATTTCAAACATTGTAAAACACCTGGTGCTATAAATACAGTTAAAATAACTAGAGACAGGAAAAAGATGTGGTTAGATCCAGAACAAAATCCTTGTTTAAGTTAAATATAGTTAACTTATTGAACAAATAGTTTACAATATATTTAATTAATATTACTCTACATCAGGGGTGTCAAACTCGCTTCATCACGGCATTGACTCGTGATATATCATGATTTTACCCCCCTCTGCTAAACCAGGAATGGGCGTGGCCAATGTGTGATGCATCTGGTCCACAGGCTGCAAATTTGACAGCCCTGCTCTACGTGAATTCTCTTTTTTTGTCATATAAGAAAATTTACTTTCTTAGCAAGTTTTGGAGCTGTTTTCTGAACTATAGCCAAGACTTCTGAAAAATATTTCTGGCCTTCAGATCTAAAGTACTGAGCTTCTGCTGTTGATTTACTTAAATCACAGTTTTGTTCCTTAGGTGATCTTGACTTTTCCACATATTGACAGTGAGAGATGGAAGCTTAATCTAGTTTGTTTGAGTGAAAGAGGGGGGGAAATGCTATTATGAAATGTGGGCTGCAAAACTTTGGACCACCATTAGGTGGCAACAAGGAGATGCAAAAAAACAAGCTATTTGCTAGCATCTAGTGAACAGACAGATTTTTGCAGTGTAGGAAGTTATCACCCAGCCCTCTCCCAGAAAAAATGAAATATCCTAGGAAATATTGAAAAGGCAGAATATTTATCTGGATGTGAAAAGGAAGAAACATGTTTTAAAAGACAGAATAGCTGCCTGCAGCTTCCTGCCCATCCCCCTTTGTCAATGAGCCATTAAAGCCTGAGCT